GCAGTCCCACCCCAGCCACCCACAGGGACACCACAGCAAATACTCCCACGGCCCTCAAGCTCCCTCACATCCTTCCCCACCTTCCAGGTCCCTACCAACTTCCCTGTAAGAAGCGAGAATGCAGCGGGGAGCTGCCCGCAGCAGAGAAAAGGCCAGCTTTTCTACGGTCTCCCCTCTCAGCACAGCGAGTCCCTGGAGACTGACTTTCTGGGCTCAGACAGCTCCTCTCCCGTGAAGTTGTCTGTCTGTCCTTCTGCCTTCAACAAGCTTCCTTTCCTGCCTAGGTATAACCTGGTGCTTCTCCATCACTGCTCCCCAACCCAGCTTCCTATCCACGAAGCCCATGCTAGGGAAGACCAGGGATGGCTGGGCCCTGACGCTCAGACAGCTCCCCCTCCGTCTTCCTCTCCCGTCCCACCTCTATCCCTCCCCCTTAAGCCCTTGCCCACGGACTACAGTGGAGGCCTAGCTGGTGGTGAGGCACACAAACGGGGGCTTACACAGGACACAGAGGTTCCCTGGGGGTCTGCTGCTCAAGCCCTGCACCCACAGCCTGCACTCCAAGGAGTCAGAGCCTCCAAGTGCTCATCCTCATCTGAGGCTTGCAGGCGGGAAGCATGGCACCCCGGACTCCGCCAACACGACCCGGAGTCACCCTCTGTCTCCCCACTGTATCCCTCTAGCCCTCTGGGAATGCTGACCAGGTTTGGGGACCCATTGAGGGCAAGGAAACAAAATAGGCATCCAAAAGCCTCTAAGCCAGCAACACCGGCTGCCAGTCCAACCGCAGCTTCTCCACCAGAACTCCAGAGAGGCAGCCCTACAGGAGCCCTCCCAGGACCTAAGGCCCTCTGCGAGACCGCAGCGCAGGAGGGTCCTCGGACCTCCGAGCCCCAGCTCCTGGCCCCTTGCCAAGCCACAGTACCCGTGACAGAGCCTCAAGGAGCTGGTCCCCCAAGCATCCCACCCGGACCTGAAGCTCAGTGGGGAACCACAGGACATAGACAGAGGCCCCAGGTTTCCGAACCGTCAGTTGCAGCCTCCTGCCAACCTCTAGCTTCTCTGTCAGAAGTCCCCAAAGCCAGCCCTGAAGGACCACGGTCTGTTCCTAAGAACTCCCAGGGAAGCGGGGGATACAGAGACAGC